TTAGCAGAGGACATCCAGGCTCCTTTGTCAATATCTGAGTGCCCTGTATGAAATGAAAAGGCTGTTTTCCAGGCAGAGATTTGAAGTGGGATAATAACACCAGTCCCACCAAGGAGGAGGTTCTCTCTTCCTCTAGGGAGCAGGCGTTATGGATGGTAGAAATGGTCACTAAATGTTCCTTTCTGAAGCCCCTGCCCAACATAAATAGGGAGCTTTTTATGGCAGTACATTTTGCAGCAAAGAAATACAGAAAAGATGATTTAGGCTTTTCTTTCAAGACTTGTCCTCCTTCTTCCCACTGGTCTTTGCAGCATGGAATGGCCACACCTAGGGCTGTGTAGTGAGGTTAACACATGGGTGTCATGTTGCTGAAGGCCTCTGTGGATACGGAAGGGACTCTGTGGCTCCACTGGCTACATTCTGCCAGTTGCTTAGAAGGTCGTCCTGTTGGCCACTTGTGTACACACTGCTGGACACTTACGCCACTTCGGATGTGACTGTGTAGCTTGGGTAGAGCACTTGCCTGGCACATGAGCGCTGGGTTCCATTCCCAGCACCTCAGAAATTAAAGGGGGATGTAGGAGAGTACATGCACTAGTAGTGGGGTCTTTGTTATTGTTGCAGAAAATCAGACAAACCTCTTGCCTCCATCCGCTTGAGTAGTTCCATGCGGTTTCAGTGGATACTTGTTTGAACCTTCAGCCAGTGCTGCAGGGGCTGGCTGAGTTCACAGGGGAGCAAGCTGAGGCTCAGGAACGGGGGCCTTGCTCATGACAACACACCACCGAGTGGCAGAGCTGGGACTTGAACTCTGTGATCTTCTGCCTCCTCTATGGTTGTATGGAGAATTATCAGACGGGCTGAGGAAGAGCTGCAGCCTCCGGCAACCTCTCTCAAATCTGATGGAAGCTGGTGAGGGTATCCTGCCTAGTACAAGTATCAGTGCTGGATGGAAAGTGGATGAGTGGGTTTCTGTGACTGTTTAGGCAAATCCCCAAGGAAACCTCCAGTAGCTGGTATCAGTCAATTCATGGGCTTCGTGCTGATGGAGACAGGGAGAGATCCCTCTGTAGGTGAAGGCGGTGCCTCAGGCTAGTCTGTGGATGTGGACACCAGTGTGAGCTCTAATCCTGCCTTCCCTTACTAGGGCCCTACCTGCACATCATCTATAGGCCCACCTTCACCTGCTTTGAGGCCCGAGCCTCAGGTGATATATGTGACACAGTAGCTCTCAAAGTGCTTCTTTCCTTCCCTGTTCATCCTTTGGGTGCAATTACCTCTTTTGATTCCTTCCAGCTCTAATTTAAACACAAGCTAGATATTCGTTATAACCCAAGGAAACCTGTAGGTACTAGGAATCCTATTACGATTTCCATCACTCAGGCTTAATGGCAAGGGCTCTGGGGATGTTCAGGCAGAGAGATTTGGGATGTTCTTTAACCCCTGAGCTTCTCTCGGGCATTGCTGTTCCAGTTGTTCCATGTAGATTTTAGCCTCTGCAGTCCTACAGCCAGCCTGAGTGCGTGTTGTGTTTCCAAAATTGACGCACCACTGAAACAGATGGGCTTTGCCAGGATCATGTCACACTTGTTGATTTATGGGAAGGGCTTTTCCAGACGGACTTAGATGACCTATTCAGATCAGAAACCACCTTGCTAACTCCTGTTAGTGTTTGAGTTAAATGTCTTGCCATTTGAACTCAGAAATGCATCTGTCTGTCAGCAGTGATTGGTTTCACGGTCTTTTGTTGGGAGATCTAGAGCCATTCGCCTTGGCCTTTACAGATAGGGAGCCTGGCTATAGTTAGCCAGGACACAGGTGAACCTCCCAGACAGGCCCTGCTGCTGCTAAATGCAGCCCTCTGGGCACATGTAGGATGGAATTTACTGAGTGCCATGCTGGGCTCTCTCGGCTCCAGCATTCGAGTCACGAGGAGTCTTGTGGGACAAAATATGAGTAATCAGACCTGGTGAGCTCCTGCAGCTATGAAGAAAGTCAGGTCACTTTGAGCTGGTTGGATACAAGATGATTTTTATCTTTTCTCAATTTTGGATTGTGACTGGGTTTCTTGGTACCTCTGATGCTGCCACCAAACCTGATCTGAAAACCCTCAAGGGGTCAAGGAGCTTTCAAAATGGTGAAACTGTTTCTGATTCCTTTCTCAGCTTGGTGAGCTCCAGGCTTTTCATAGGCCTGGGTTCTGGCAGGTCTTCCTTTGGGTAGGAAGAACAGGGCATAGCCCTGCAGTGGGATAAGGGAGCTCCATTAGGGATGTAGCCCAGGGCATAGCAGCCTGCTACCGCTGGGAACATCTGACCCAGGCATCTGGCCACGTGTTAACCTCTGCCACAGACACTTGGTCCTTGTACCATGAGGACTCGCTAACCCGTAAGAGCTGAGATTGCTTGAGATTTTAGAGAATTCAAATAGCCATTTTCAGAGAGGTGGTGGATGACTCGAGATTATCAGGATATCTTCCTGAGTAGGAGAGGATGCAGAAAACTTCAGAACTAAATCTTTAAAGGGCATACTGGGAGCATTTTGTAAAGCACTGGTGCTCTGAGCCTCTGGTTAATGAGTCTTAGGTAAGACCTGGATATTGACTCCTTTAAAGTTTTTCACATTGTTGTAATACACAGCCAGGGTTGAAAATCTTAGGGAAGGAAACCAGACAAATTAGACTTAGATGGAGATTAGATTTTGATAGTAAAGGTAGAGGAAGGGTGCACTGAAAACTGAGTCTGTTCTGAATTATGGTACAAGGAGTTGAGAAAGGAAAGAAAGAGGACGGGCTCCTTTAAGCTGTACTATTCTTGGGCTGTATAGCCTAGTAGTTTCAAGGGAGAACTTTCTTTGCAAGGTAAGAGCAAATTCCTTTAAGAATCTGGAGAGTCTTAATCTCCAGGAGAGTAAATATGCTTATATACAATCTGTGTCTGTCCTCCCTCCTCAAGGCCGAGGTTGGGGGTTCTCAACTGAGAGTAATAGTGATACCTAATTACCATAACACAAGCTCATAATCAAAAACTGCCTGTAGGCAAACAACGACAAATGCCAAAACGACAACCAACCCTGCAAATAATATCCTCGTGAAAATAAAAACATTTATGCAGGAAAATAAAAAGAAAAAAGCAAACTATCTACAGTCCCATTACCCAAAAATCACCTCTGCAAATCTTCTGGGCATCTCTTAATAGAAAATAATAATTTCATATAAATGGAACCCTACCTGATTATCTACCATTGTGTTGTAGATCTCTTGCCACATCAATAAAGATAGGCCTACGTCAGTTTGAAACAGTATTTCATTATATGGATGAGCCATTTTTTCATCCATCTTTGTCAATGGACGTTTAGGTCATTTCCAGTTGAGAGCTATTAATAATGAGGAAAAGCATCCTGTACATGTGCCTTTGAGATACATGTCCTGCTGTGGTGATCTGCTTCTTTTATTACACGCTTGCCTACCTGGGAGTGGGGATGACAAAAGCCCACATTCTCCCCTCACACTGCTCATACGCTTATTGTAATATAATTCATCTGTTATGTGCCTTTGTGTTTTTTCATCCCCCTACTCCCACACACTCATAATGGGTGCTTTGGTTAAGTGTGGAGTACACGATACTAATTTAGCCCCACCCTTTCTCATTATTAGGATGTGTAGTGTGTAGATTGCTTCTGAAAGTCCCCGGCAATCAGGGGCCTCAGGCTCTGAGTAGTTGGTGAGAAGCCACTTTTGAAGCTGTATCATTCCGGCTGAGATTTTAGAGAATTCAAATAGCCATTTTCAGAGGCTATTTTTCTACCATTGAAGTTGCAGCGTGCATTAAGTTTTCTCAGTATAACAGAGTATGTCCCTAATTTGCCTCATTTAAAAAAGTGATTCGGATTTTTATTTGTTCATTTGTCCGCCAAATAAGGGTCTGCTGAGTACTGTACCTGGTGCCTGAAACAGGAAGCACAGAAATGATTCAGTGCATGGTCCCTGAGCCAGGCTCTTCAACTTAATGATGACATAAAAGTGGTACACATTCAGTAGAAACTGTACTTCAGATTTTGAATTTTGATCATTCCCTATGCTAGCGGTGCTCGATAGAGTACTGTCTAAATCCTGGGCAGTGACAGTGGCAGCAAGCTGTAACTCCCAGGCAAGCAAGAGTAAACTGTCAGTACTCAATGTTGCTAAGCTATGGTGTGCAGTAAACATTTAATGCATTTTTCAGCTTACAGTTTTTTTCACTTTACAATCTGGACATAACCTGCTCATGTAGCTAGCTGTTCATGGAAGTTAGGCTCCCAAGCCTCCGTCAGGACTGTGGTATCAACTTGGTCATTACAGAGACACTCTTAAGTGAGGGAAATGGTTTGTGAGCTCCTTCAGAGAAGACAAGTAATTCTCGTAAAAATTTGAGGCAGTTAGGATACTATACCTCCACTGACAGCAAAATTATCTTAGGGAAATGCCTCCCGTCTTTCCATCTGCATGTGTGGTCATTTTCTTGGCAAAAGAATAAAGGGGGCAAGCACTTTGGTTCTCTCATTTCAGGGTTTAGGCTGATAAAAATTCAGGACTGAGGTATGAGGAAAGGTTCTAGCATTGTGGCTGGTACTTTTTGCTAGATTAATGGAGACTAGGAAATATTAGAGAAGATTAACTAAAACACGAGCAAGTCTGAAGGAAAAGGCAGTGGAGTGGTTCCACTGACCACAGGGGTTTTACAGATCAATTCATTAAGGGAGTTTAAGTCCTTTCGGTACTACTTTTAAAAACTTAGGGAAAATGTGGTGTTCTCTTCCCATAAAAATGCACTTAAGTGCACAAGCGCAGAATTTTGAACATCATACCAAGCACTTTGCAAGTCCCCAGCAAAGAACTCATAATCTGATCCAGCCCCTGTTTTTTGCGGGTAGAATTACTCATGTTTATAGAGGAGGGTAACTATGAGGACCTAAAATCTTGCTGTTGAATAGTTCCTAAAGAAGTGTTTTCTTTCTTACAGCACTGGCTGGATCATTCTAAACCCATCAAAAAGCAGATGAAACGTAAGTGAACAGAATTTGGTCTAGTCTTGTTCCAGTAAACTCCTTTGTCCAAGTTTTGAGGTTTTCTGTTTTCATTAGAACGTGAAAGCATTTTTAAAGCAATCTAATTTTAAGTGGATAATTTTTTTTTTTTTTTTTTTTTTTTGGTTTTTCTCCGGTACCGGGAACCGAACTCACGACCTTGCGCTTGCCAGGCAGGCGCTTTGCCGCTGAGCTAAATCCCCAGCCCCAAGTGGATAATTTTTACTAAAGCTGGCCAAAGTTAAAGTTTAAAATTTAAATAACAGTTTTTAGTAGATATTAAAAACCCACCTCTACTCTCATTTGAAATTAGACACATCTGCCAATGAGAAATGACTAATGTACTATTCAGAAACGTGACTTTACACCTCCTGTATTCTCTTCCTAATGAATTACAAAGTAGAGTCAGTGACTGGGAGAATGAGAGGTCTTCTTGGTAGTATGGTCCAGCTTACTCCTTTACAGGTGGGGTAACAACATTTCTCTAATGATTTTTATATTTGGGTCATTTAAAAAAATTCACATTTTCTTACAAATACTTTAAGGTATCCTTATTTTATTTTTAGATGGCAGAACGCTTTGCTATTTATGTGTCATTTTCCTTTAGCCCACTTTATACTTTGTAAATATATATATCAATTTGGACTATCTTGGCATCAGTGCTAAATTAAAGGGCCAGCTCTTAGTAACTCATCTAGATCCTTCTCTGCCCAAATGTGGTTACCAGTTAAATCTTCGTAGTTAATATAAAAGTCCATTTCAGTACTAGCTTTGCATGCCCAGTTGTGCCCTCCAAAGGCAGTGGTAAATGTGCTACAGATTTAATGTGTTTTTCTTTTCATCCATTCTGTGGTCTTCAAAACTGGGGAAAAAACTTCAACCTTCTGTCTACAAATGTTTAGTTGGACCTGCTTATGCTTTGCACTTTCGAGTTAAATACTATTCTTCAGAACCGAACAACCTTCGAGAAGAGTTTACAAGGTAGGACATAATGCGGATGATCCTGCCTGGTAGTGCTTGCCTTGTCTAGATTTATGGGTCTTGTAAGTTGTGGGTTTGCCTCCCTTAGTGTTTGCTGTCTGTATTTCATAGTAAGAGTTATTAGTATTTTTCCTGGGCTTCTAAGTTCTGTTGAAAATCTACCGCTTTGCTTAATTTGATACTGTTCTTAGTTAATAAGCATTATATTTATTTTCTTATCCCATTTCTATTTTCTGGGACCTTAGTATTTTGATTGTTCTATGGTATTATATTTGGTCTCAGCTACAAAAAAGGGAAAATGGATACTGAGAGAATGTTTTTCAGTCTGCAGCTGCCATCTTATATTTTTAAGGAGCTGCAAAACGTCCCCTTGTTACAGTAGAAGACACCATCTCTTTAAACAAACTGTGCTAGTTACAACAAAGTTGTAACAACAACGTTGTTGCTGAATCCTTTCTTGTTGTCTTTGTTTTGTGTGCCTGTGTTTATCTCTTGGACTTCAGAAAGTGTCAAAGGAAAATACCATTTTATGTATGCAGTTTCCCTCCAGCTACCCTTCCATCAGTGAAATTCTTTACCCAGCCTTTTCCTGCTATTGAGATACCCAAAGCCTCCTTGTCACTTTCTGTGCCTGATAGATTGTGATGGTGACATGTATATAGCTAGGCAGTCTGCAGTGGTGGCCACTAGTCTGAAGACAATAACCTCAGTAACACTTTAAATAGAGACTGACCATTGCCTTACTGGAAGGCCCTACAGGGCTTTTTGTTGTTGTTTGTTCTTTGTATTTTGGTTTTTGTTTTTGAGACAGGGTCTCACTATGTAGTTCAGGTTAACATTGAACTCTGTTTAGCCCAGGCTGGCCTCAAACTCATGGCGATCCTTCTACCTCAGCCTGCCAAGTGCTGGGATTGCAAACATGCACCGTCATATCCAGCCTTATAGAGCTTTTGTAGTTAGGTTTTCCCACAAGCATCAGAAGTTCTGGCTGTGTTGGTACTGCGTTCCCCTTGATGTGGATACACAAGTGAACAGCTTGAATTTCAGAAGGGAAGTTAAATTATGGTTAAACACTTTTTGGGAAGCCAGACATTCTGGAATGTACTAGGACCTATACTACCACCACCCTTGATTTCCGGGTCGCCCACATTCCCCTCTATCCATCTCATAGAAAGCAACTGCCTGTATTGTTTCCCACGTTCAAACAAATTAAATTACTCCGGTGTTCCTATTCAGAGCTCCTTATGAAACATGCTGCTTCTAACTGTCACCAAAATCAGTGGTTTTTAAATCAAGTTGTGTGAATCCAAAACACCCAGGAAGCTTTTGAACAAATCAAATTCCTGGGGACCACTCTTGCGTGTGGGATTCTGACTCTGTAGATATGGAGCAGAGTGTGGGCAGCTTTGGTTTTTACAAAGCATTGTAAGTGGCGCTGATGCCCACATCCTCCTGGTTTAAAACAAAAAACAAAATACCGAAGCTAAGACATTTATTTCTACCTAAGTCCCATTTGTGTTATGTGCTGTCTTCTTCCCTGTTTTCTGTTGCCCTTTAACAAGTTGCAATCCTAGGCTAGGATTTTTCAGCATGTGCATGCGTGAGTGACTGTGCATGTGTGTGTGTGTGTGTGTGTGTCTGTGTGTGTGTGTGTGTGTGGTGTCATCTGCGTGCCTGTTTTGTTAAGTGAATGCAAGTCTGCAGTTAGGCTGCATCAGGAAGAAAAGCCACAAGCTGTTGCTAGCAGAGTCCAGTCAGCTGCAAACTCGTTGATGTGATTCTGGAATCTGCAGGCTACAGGCCAAGCCCAGTGGCTCCACCCTGCTGGTTTTATTAGACATGTTGCATGCCTGTGTGCCAAGTTCTGTGTGCCTGTTGGGCTCTTCTTGAGCACCAAAGGGGTTACTAAAGGTGTGATTGGACTGCTCACTGTTCCATGTTCCATCCTACGAGTACCTTGCAAACTCCCATTGTGCCCTCGACTGCCCATCAAGGTTCTAGGATGCCTTCCTGAAGGCCCATGAGGAGATGCTTCCGCCCAAATTCTCATTTACTTTGGCCTCCCTTTTGACAGTACAAAATGCCAGGCTGTACGTGGGATGGGATTTATGACAGGAAGTGGGGGGTTGGAGGTGGTGGGAAAAGGTTTACCTTCTGTTGACTTTTGTATATATTTGTCAGGTACCTGTTTGTTTTACAACTCAGGCATGACATCCTTTCTGGAAAGTAAGTATGTTTTTGTTCTAAATCTTAACCCAGGATATATCATAGTATATTTCAAAATTATTCACTGTTTTAACTCTCTTACCCTTGTTCCCTTTTCAAAATTCAAAAAAGTGCGCCAGGCATTGTAAAGTGAGTCTAATACTTGTATCATTGTCATTATCATCCTGTTTTAAATGATTATTATATGGCTTGAAGCATTTCTAAGAGCATTTAATACCTTAAGTGATGTGTATTTGGGAATAATTCTCTCCCTGATCACATCACTGCCCCATTCATAATGGCTTTTGTCGTACTTGCAAGCAAGGTTACGTTATTAGTATGTATACACGTACAAGCATCTGGACAGTCAAAAAGTCTCATTCATCACCATCCACATTGGAGTAACGTAAAGAGGTTATATTCTGATTCAAATAGAAGGAAGTTTAGACATCTCATCTCATTTCCTTTTCCCCCTTTCAAAATGATTTTTAAATGGTAGGCTTCTGGCTACACACAAAGAATATTAAGGATGAGAGGCATTAGAGCTGAAGTGGCTGATTTCGCATGCAATATTAATTTATTGCAAAGATAAGAGATTTCAGGAGTCATAGCTTTCACAGTTATGTCATTTTTCAGCATAGGGATTGAATATTTTCTAATACATAAAAAGTTAAGGCTACATTGAGTCTAAGAAGTAATATATCTGATGTTACTGACAAGAATACATTCTGATTTTGAATGTAATCTAAAGGAAATTTAAAAGTGTAATTTCTGAATTTGCAAACTCAATAGAAAAGATGCTGTAAAATTTTGAGTAGGATATGCTCCATAGAACAAGGAGATTGTACAGTGTATACATTTGCCTTATTCAGACATGCAATACAGATCTTTGGTTGGTGTGTGTATTATGAGTGTGCGTGTATTTTTCTCTCTCCATACTGTGCTCCTCATATAAAGGCCTCGTAACTGTAGAAATTGCCTTCAGTTTAGAAAAATATTAATGACTACAGCTTGCATTTGTACAGTACTTTGCAGTTTACATGCACTTCTAGTCGGTTTATTGTACAGTAAAGCAGAATGATGTTCTAGTCCCAGCACTGCCGGCTCTCAGCTGGATGACCGTAGGAACAACCCTGAACATTCACTTCCTCATCTGTAAAGTGGGAGAGGGGGGACCCTGGTCGCATCCGTCCCAGGAGTTTACAGCTGGATGCATTAACCAAATTGCATGATACATATGAAAAGGCTTGTAAAAACTATGAAGTGCTATACCAATGTACGTCATTATTATTTTTCTAACTAACTTTGAAATGTAAGTGTGAATGAGATCACAGGTTTGCAGTAACACTCTTCTACCCCTGTGCCTCAGTTATACTTAGTAGAATGCTAGTACATCCAGCTGTCCTGGCAACATTAGATATGGTGTATTTTTATTTTTAACACTAAGACCTTGTTTTAAGAAAGACTGAGGGCAGCTTGAAAAGTGCACGTACTAGGTCAAGACAAAATAAATTTAAAATAAGTTTTAAAATAATAATGCAAAGGGATCCTTTTCATTCTGTTTTCCAAACTTTCCCATCCTGGCCAAAGTCAGTAAAATTGCCTACAGGATTGATAGAAAGTCTACTTAGATTGGGTTATTTTGCCATATGATGAGAACTTATTTGGGGAAGTTTACAGTGTGCCGTGTTTGCATTCTTTAATGTAGACAGCAAAAATACAAATTAAGAACAAAAATCATTGCTTAGGCATCACTGCCTTTTGAAGAATTATTTTATTGATATTTTGTATGTTTGAGTATATAATTTCATATGTAAAATTAATTTCTTTTTTAAGGTTGAAATGCCCCTATGAAACAGCTGTGGAATTAGCCGCTCTCTGTCTACAAGGTACATTCATCTTTGGTAGTCATGACTGTTTTAATATTATTGCTTTTCCTTACAACAAACAAGTATGTACCATGCCAGGCCCAGTGCTCTCCCCTGTCCCAGTGTGTAAATGAGGAGGACATGGTCTTTACCCCCAAATGGCTTGCAGCCCAGTGAGGAAGTTAGGTGCAGAGCACAGTGTGTTCCTTCAGTAGCAGGAAGCTTGGATGAGGCAGGGCTGTGGGGGGACGAGGGGAGGGAGCAGAATCAAGGCATGGAGGCATAAAAGCAGTGCTGAGAGGAGCTGGAGTATACAGCACTTTCCCAGAATGCATGAGGCCCTGGGTTCAATCCCCAGCACCACCAAAAGAGAAGGAGGGGTAGCAGCAGTTGAGGATATATCAGGTTGAGGTCCAAGAAGCTGAGCAGGTGGTTGGCCTCAGACCCCAGGAACTTCATGTGGTCAACAGTGAGGTCTTTACAAGCTCCTGAGGACATAGTGCGGTCAGAGGTACATGTTAGAAAGGCCAGGCTGGCTGTATGGGGAGCAGGGGTTGAAGCAGGACTAAGAACTGGGGCTGGGAACCAGAGAGAAGGTGTAGCCGGACAGAGATAATAAGAACCTGAACAGGGCAGCTGGTTGTAAACACACGCCAGCAAATAGCCGTGGTAGTACAGGGAGGTAGACTCAGTGATGAGACTTCGGTGTTGAGGGAGGAGGCAGAGATGACTCAGGCTGCTTCCACGGGTGGGTGGTGGCAACGGTGAGCAGTGAGCAGCTATCAGAAGAGCTGAGCTCTAGTGGAGGAAATGGCCTGTGTTAGGCCTCTGGGATGGGAGGTGCGGAAGCAGCAGCAGCAGCTCCTCGGGTGGCTGAAGAAGCTTCCTCTGAGGTTACTGTAGAAGCAGCGCTGTGGGTCATCATGGGTGGGGAGACCGATGACAAGGATTGTCAGTGTTGGCTGTTCCTCCGTAGGATGCACTAGTGGATCGTAGTTTACAGTGTGTAAGAAACACTTGCTAAAGTCTCCAGTGCTAATTAAGAGAATGCTAATGCGAAGCTGCACATACGGGATTTCATTAGCACATCAGACAGGCATATGCTGTGAATTCATTTACCAGTGTGTTCATTGGCTGCTATTGGGTTATGAATTATGATATATCCATTTCCTAATTAGTATTTTTGAACATCATTCGTATTTTAGCAGTTTTTACAATTGATATGAGAGGTTTTCTTCAAATTATAAAACCAGTATGCACACTATAGAATATCAGGAAACTAACACAATAATCAGGCAAGTGGAAGGAAATGTTTCTATGAGCTTTGAGTGGATTTTTAAGAAATGTAATTCTGATCAGAGTTTATATACAAATTTTTGTATGTTTTCTTTTAGCTTGGCATTTTTAGTAAATGTATTTTGTCATGTTTACACACATAAAAATAGTTTGTTTGGGTTTCTTTGTTATTGTTTGTTTTTAGTTTTTGGAGACAGGGTCTAGCTATGTCGTTCAGGCTGGCCTTGAACTTACTATGTAGCCTAGGCTGGCCTTGAACTTGCTGTGATCCTCCTACCTCAGCCTTCCAGGTGCTGGTATTATAGGTGTGCACCACCATGTCTTGCTTTTCATAAAGATATCGTTTAATGACTGAAAGGTATATTAGTGGATATTTGTATTCCTTAGTTACCCCTTAAATCCTACTGTCTACTGGGGGCTTGGCCTACAGTAAATGCGTAATAAGTACAGAACAAATTGAATCAATGAGGTTAAAAGGACCCTAAGGGACTTTGATTGAAGGGGGAGCCTGTCCCTATGGTCAGAAGGCACTGGTGGTAGAAGTGACATAAGGTCATTGATAGGCATCTGTCTAAATACATTGCTAAGTACTTCCTATCAATATTTCTCTGATGCAGCAGGCTTTATGGTGAGTGCCATGGGGTATGCATGGCTTGGGAATATGGCAGTGGCCTCTCTACCTTGGCCAAGTATCCATTTCATCAGCATAGCCAGTGACCTTCCTCAGCCCTGGCGTTCCTGAACCCCAGGAGGCCATACCTTTAGGCCAAATAGCCCAGCAAGAGATGTCAGGGTGTTTAATGTTAATGAAATGAAAGCATGGTGTCCTGTCTGGAAGCATTAATTCTCTGGAGAGATTTTCTCCTAAGGCCACTGACACATGACTGCAAGTTTGTATGCCGTCCTGGATGATTAGAGGCTAAGGAACGCTTTTCACCACATCCTCCACCCCTGTGTAATGGAGTCAGCCCAACACTCACAAGTCCAGCTCTAGTCGGACCTTTTGCATCACCCAGCACAGAGGGAGACAAGAAAACAGTCAGCCACCTGCAAGGCTTTCTTGGGGACGTTACCCACTTGAGCTGAACCATAGCATGAGTATAATTTAACATCCAGTCATTATGGCAGTACACATAAACAGACTCTGAAGACTTAGACACACATGGGGAAGCCCTTGCACACCAGCCTATGCCCCCTCCCCAACCCCACTTCCCAGGAAATGCTATAGTCTGCTGCCTGCTGTCTGCTGTCTACTCCAGCCCAGCTCAGCCGCCTGCCCTGGGCTCTGTGGGTAGGAGTAAAATGTGTTATGTTTCCTCCTGTGCTTGAGCCTTGTGAAATATCTTGCTGCAGTTGTTCTTGAATTAATAGTGCCTCCTGAGTTGTGAAACAGTGGCCCTGCATGGAGTCTGCGCTCTTAGTGGAATAAATTTATGGTAGATTGGAAAATTATTCTCAGTAAAAGGAAAAAATTAGGAAAGAAGTCATTTGTTATGTGCCTGCGGTTTTGTTTCTTCCTTGGAACAATTCTGTTTGGTAGATAAAGGATCCGGAAACCCAGAGTAGTTAAATGACTTGCCCAGGACCACATAGCTAGTACATGATGGGACTGGGATTCAAGCTCTCCTCTGCCTGAGCTGTTTCTGTCATCCTCCACAGACTCCCTGGAGCTAAGGCCAGGATGCAGAGGTTGTAGAACAGTGAAGTATCAGGTTCTCCAGCAGGTTCTTGGAAGATAGGCATGCTGCCTCAGAATGGTGTGCCAGGCTCCACTTAGGCCTGTTTCGGTGCAGTACACATGGAGTGAATGCTGGCCTGTTCCCAGTCTGTACACATCAGGGAGGCATTGTCTCTGTCTGGCTTCTCCCTCCGGTGTTTGGTGACATCATTGGCACCACTGATCCTCTCCTATCCAGGTGCAGGGTGCTATTGCCTCACTGTGGCCCATGGATGGCCTTTCCAGGCACCTAGTTTCATGGTGATGTCTTGGGCAGAGGTCTCAACTTGGGAAAACAGCCCCAACATTTCAGAGCAAATATTATTTCCAGAGCAGAATCTCTATTTGTGCCTTTGCCCAATGTACCAAGCTACTGCTCACCCTCACCCTGGCTCCCATAATGTTAGGGGTGCAGGCGAGGGGCTGTAGGTAGGTGGGGAGATATTTACGAGGTCTCTGCTGTGTGCCAGACATTGTCTCTCACAGTCCTGTCCGGGTCCCGCTGAGTTTGGTATTACTACTTCCACTGTGTGCACAGGGACATTTTATCCACTGCTACAACCAGCTGGAGCCCCTGCATTGAAAGATGGACTGCGGGATTGCGATCAGAAGCCCAGGCTGGCTGAGTGTGGCGTAATAGGCCGATGAAAAGGGATGCTGGATACACAGTGCAAGGTGTCCTTGGAGGCAGTTAGGCATATGCCGTTGGTCCATTGGTGGGTTTGATGTGTGGAGCAGAGGTTTCTTTTTACGTGTTTCCCGGCTTGGACACAGCAGCATCTTCTAGGAACTTGCTAGATATGCAGATTCTAAGCCTCATTCTAGACCTATAGGATCAGAAACTCTGGGTGTGTGGCCCAGCAATGTGGTTTGTTTTTTGTTTTTTTTTTTTTGGTTCCCGGTAATTGAACTTACAACCTTGCGCTTGCTAGGCAGGCTCTGCACCACGGAGCTATATCCTCGGCCCCTAGCAATGTGTTTTAATGAGATCACCAGGTGATTCTGATGCATGTCCAAGTTCAGAAGCCACTGCTATAGATAAGTGCTTTTCAAAGGCAAATGAGTACCCGGTGCTCCAGGCATCTTGTGGAAAGACAGGCTTTGCCTAGGTGGTTTGAGGTGGGGTCTGAGCCCACATCTTGAGCAGCTCAGGTAATGTCTGTGTGTGCCGGTGCATGAACCACACTTTGCATAGCCAGTGTATTGGAGGACACTCTGGACAGTTTTCCTTATATTCAGGAATCTGCAGTAGTAGGGTGAGGAGACTGAGTTTTCCTATTCATAACCTGTGTCACCTGTGTCCTGGAGCCTCCATTCCATGTGTGACCTGGCAAGAGCAAGGACCACGCAGCCCGCTTCTGGCACGTGGTTGGGAAGGCTCACCTCGCTGCTTCTCCTTTCTGCGTACCCAGCTCCCTGCCGGGTTCTGCCTGATTTGTCGCAGTTGCTCCTGCAATGCTCTCATGCCTCCCCTCCCCCTCACCCCTCCTCCCTCCCTCCCTCTTTTTCTCCTAGTTTTTTCCCCTGGATTCTGCATGTGCTGAATTCTTGATCCATCCTCTCCAGCAGTGCAGCTCCTCAAGTGCTGCTCTGACCTGCCCTAATGAGAGCCTGGTGCAGTGGCTGTTTCTGGGCAGATCCTCATTCCCTGCAATTCCCTTTTATTGCAAATGCGAGGCTCTACTCCTTCTCAGGGAAAATGTAATTGGGCCTCCCTGGGTAGGGAAAATGGTTGCCAGTAATAACTAAGATAATGGTGTATCGCACAATGGGGAGGGCTTCAGACTGATTCTTGGGGGTTTTGAGAGTACGTATAGCTACCAAGTGAGAGTTCAGTCCTGAGGAAAGAAGAGAGCTGTACATGAGGGGGTACCTGTGCTTTATAATCATGCAAAATGCCTTTGGACTCAGTGACAGCAATAACTGAGAATGCTCAGTGTCTCCTGTTTTCCTCCCTTTTATGGAACGTGCAGCGGAGCTTGGGGAATGTGAACTTCCAGAACACACACCAGAGCTTGTGTCTGAGTTTCGGTTTATTCCAAATCAGACAGAAGCAATGGAATTTGATATCTTCCAGAGATGGAAAGACTGCAGGTACCTTGATGCAATCACCTAGCATTCTGATCTGTTTATTTCTTTTGTCCTGTGTGTTTGTCAGATTGTTTTGCTTGCCATAGAACTGCTCAGCGGATGACTATAAAACTGCATCTTTATCTCATGACTTCTCTCCTGTATTTCCGTCCCATTCTCCCAAAGGCCCACATGTCAGCTCTTCTAAGAGATCTACAGCAAGAACCAAACCATACTTTTTTTCTCTCTCTGAAATGCAAAGCCTCAGTCTGATTTGCTTGTTGCTACCAGTAGTACCTCCACTGCCCTGACACGTACTGCACACCTGGTCTCTGGGAACCTTGTCCTGCACCTTTAATAAACCTTTTAGAAATAGAGGTGGAACATCCCTAACCTCAGAATAGAAACTTTGTGAATGCTGACTTCATGAAATATTGGAAAATTCCATATCTGACTCTCTGGGACAAGCTGTAGTAAAATGCAGGAACATTAAAAATTGGGCATAAAAATACCGTTGGGCTACATGTATAAGGTATATGTGAAACATAAATGAATTTCATGTAAGACTTGGGTCCCATCCCCCAGATATCTCATTATCTAATGCAGGTATTCCCAAATCTGAAAAATACCTGAAGTCAGAAGCACTCTGGTTCCAAGCATTTTAGATAAGGGTTACTTAGCTTGTAACCCTGTTGTACAGGAGCAATTACAGTTGAGACCACATGCTGTACAGCATTGTACCCCAGGAAATATGGTCATCCTATCTAAAGGCAGCCAGGTCATTTAGCTCATTGGTTTCCCTCTACAGTCACCATCCTGATCTAATGCTTTTAAGCCTGGACTGCCGACGCTGCCTGTCACTCTGATTTCCCAGAGGTTGACCTTCTTCCTTCCTGTCCCCTCTTCTTAAAACACCACCCCTCCTGAGTCACTCTTGGACCTGGAGCTTAGCATGGCCTTGATTGTCCTGCAGTGCCTCTGCAAAGCCCCCGTGACTTTATTTTAATGGAAGATGACATGAATGCATTCTTACTAGGTAACACTGAAATAGTGAAGTGTGTCACTGTAAAGTCATCCCACACCCCTCACACAAACCAGAGCCCCCTTCTTCTCTGTTGTGGTCTGTTGTGTATCTTTTCTGCTTTCCCATGTATGTATGTGTGTCTGTATATGTGTATATATATATATATAATATATGTATAAATAATCTCTACAAAAAACCCAGTATTGTTCCCGTAAATGGTCTGTTATAAGCAGTGTTCCATGATCTTTCTGTTCATTAACAATATATTTTAGAGCCTTTTCCTGTCAGTATAAACCTGCACGCTTCCTTGCTATAGTTGTCATAGAACTGCCATAGTCCAGCATGCCCTGGGAGTCTCCACATCCCGGTTCACATGTATTTCCACTGGTTTTTTGAAGGGGAAAGAGCCCTGCCCAGGCGGAACTCTCCTATCTGAATAAAGCGAAGTGGCTGGAAATGTATGGGGTAGACATGCACGTGGTCAGGGTAAGAACTATGTCTGCTTAAGTAATTTGACTTTGTTATTGCTGAAAAAATACATAAGTATTATGCCAACTAAGTAACTTGTGGTGAGGAAACTGTTTTTGCATTCTGCTCTGTGACGACCTGTTAGAACCCTCTACCGATTGTCACTTCGTTTGTTTGTAGGGAAGAGATGGCTGTGAATATTCTCTTGGACTGACCCCGACAGGCATATTAATCTTTGAAGGAGCTAACAAAATAGGCTTATTCTTTTGGTAATTTAGTTTTGTCTAATATTAAAAATGTCTTTTCCTATTTTGTGGTGGAAGTCTATGTGATGGATGATTATTGAGGGATACTTGCAACACCCAGATTTGTTTTAAAATCACCTTCCTGTTGTCATTGTGGGTATGTGGCATTTACACTGAAACTCCTGAATAATCACATTTAAATGAATGAATGATTTTTTTTCTTAGCCAATCTAAGCTTTAAAAATAGAAAGGAAACTGCTGTTTGATGTGCGGATTCTTTCACTGCAGACTGTGCTTTTTTAAAATGCTTTCTGTCTGACCAGGCCTAAAATTACCAAAATGGATTTTAAAAAGAGCAAACTGACCCTTGTGGTGGTGGAGGATGATGACCAGGTAGGCCTTGTTCCCGTTTGCCCTTCCTGCTGTGAATGACCCTGCATCAAAGGACGGATGCCCCCATCAGGACCTTTGCTTCCTCTCAGGGACGTGAGCAAGAGCACACCTTTGTGTTCCGGCTGGACAGCGCCCGCACCTGCAAGCACCTGTGGAAGTGTGCCGTGGAACACCATGCTTTCTTCCGCCTGCGCACGCCAGGCAATGGGAAGGCCAGCAGATCCGACTTCATCCGCCTGGGCTCCCGCTTCAGGTTCAGGTGGGCGGCCATGTTTTCAAGACAGATACAGTAGCTGCTTTGTTTTGGGACCAGGTGGAGGGGTAGCAGTTGACTTGACTCTAGAGATTTGGGTTGTATGCACCATCCCTACTTCTTTCTTAAGATCCAACCTTCCGGCAAGCCACCCGAGCTCTTTCAACCTCCATACCCTCATTGATAAAAATGGAACTAATAGGGAACGAGGATCCTCATCCAGAATACTTGGGACCAGAAGTGTTACAGATTTTAGAATACTTACATAATTGATACTTGATTCTGGAGGTATTTGAGTGTGGCCTCCCGAACAGTTTGGATTTGGGAGCATTTGAGACCTTGATTTGTGGAGTAGGCATGCTCACTTTATAATAACAACATTAGTAATGGCTGACCTGAAGCTAGAGCTATGCTATCCAGTACAGTAGCCACTAGCTACATTGTAGCTATAATCTAAATTAATGAATATTTAATAAATTGTAAAATGCAGTTCCTTGGCCTCACAAAGTCATATGTCAAGTACTTGCTAGCTATGGGAGGCTTGTGGCTACTTGTCGGGCAGGGCAGACAGAGTACATAGCATCACTGTGGAAAGTTCTGGTGTACAGCACTGCCCTAGAACTCTACCTTGCACCCACTCTTGACCTATGAAGCAGCCTTAATAAACTAGATTCATTAACCTCGTTTTGCAGACTCAGAAGCTAAGGTTCAAGCTCACACACAACCAGTAAGTGGAAGTATGGAAATAGAGATTCAACCCAAGAGTCTGGCTCTTATATTTCTAACCACTACTATATTTATTTTTCCATGCCAATGTCAAGAAATTTGGTAGCACTTAAGAATGAGAGCAGATGTCAGTGTGTGTGTGTGATTATGTGTGTGTGTCCCAGGGTAGGCTCAGTAAATATTTGAATCTGAAAAGATAGCTTATTCGGATGTGCTTTGCTTACCATCTTAAGGCTGTGTTGGAAGTCGTCTGGTGTTTGCTAAAAATGAGCCTCATCTGGGGCCTTGGTAATGAGTATATAAGTATGCCGAAAGCCTGGGAATGTGCATTTTAAGCCCACTCCAGCAGTTGACTTTTGAGGCACACATACAGGTCTGAGAATCCTGGTTACAACAGACGAAACTTCCCGTGATTTCATAACCTCTGCCCACACACGGCGTATCCCTGAACTCTGTTTAAAATGCCAAAAGATTTGCTCATTTCAAATATATCTACAGTACAAGAAAAAGGCTGTGCAGTTCTGTTTAAAGAAGTATTTTGTTTGAATATATTTTTAAATGCTCTGAGGGGTGGGGGAGATCGTGTCCTTTTTGAAAAAGAATGGAGTCACAGGGCTCCCAGAGGATGGAAATGTCAGAGCTGCGGAGGTCAGAAGAGCCGCTGTGCTCCGTGGTCTGCCGATACTCACGTGGGGTTGGGAGGAAAGGCAGGGCGATTGCCGAGGCAGCCATCCCCCTTCTAGGAGGAAACTCTCCTGAGATTTGGCCCAGACCTGGTGTCCTCTGCCCTGCAGGGAGAAGCATTAGAAGGAAGGGAGCTTGGCGATGAGCCTGTCCCTTAGAGGCACTCAGAGCAGGTAGCTAGTGGCTCCTTTCATCGGATAAATCATTAACCAGGAACACCAAGAATGCCACAGTGAGGGATAGATCAGCAAAGACCAGAGTCCCTCCTGGAAGCTGCTGCTGAGTGTCACCATGGTTGAATGCTGGGAAGCCTTGTGATATAAGTAATATTTCCCTTGGTGTAGCAGGGAAAGGTCTAGTTCAGGGGCCATTGGTAACAGTCTCTGAAGAGATGAGTTAAACATCTACTCGGTGTGTTCTGTGAGGGGGTATTTGTGTGCTAATCAGTATTGTCTTAGTCAAATAGTCCAAGTTCTCAGGCCAAGGGCGGGTCCTTAAATTGCCAGTTTGATCCTTTGGTGGAAATACCTGCCTCTATGATAGATAGGTTTGGCAAAGCAGATTTTACTTCCAAATAGAAGGCTTAAACTTAGTGTGTCTTTTTAGCAGATGAGTTCAAGCAAGGGCAAAATGTACACTGGAGCTCTTGAAAATAAACATTCACTTTCAAGTAGGTGTGACTTGCCGAGATTCCGATATTGGTTACATGCAATCAAATATTTGCTTCGCAGTGGGCGGACGGAATATCAAGCTACACATGGCGCCAGGTTACGAAGAACCAGCACCTTTGAGAGGAAGCCCAGTAAACGTTACCCATCCCGGAGACATTCCACATTCAAAGGTTACGTGGTTTTCATCTGCCTCTGCGTTTTACAGTACAGCTTAGTGGGTTAAGGCCCAAGGAAATGGATCAAGCACCTTGGGAAAGAACTTGCTGTAGTTCTGCCCCTTCGTTCTAAAGCTTTCGGGGAGAGACCAGGGCTGTTCTTTTGGTAGGACTCGGTCCTCTTCTGCCATCCCTCTTTCTTTAGTGTTTCCCTATTGCATGTGCTCATTTGCTTCCCCTCTCATCTATCATGTGCCTCCTTGCCACGCCCTGGGACCTCGGCAGTATCATAGGTGAACACCTTTCCTGCCTAGAGAAGGTGCTCTGTCCCTTCTCTCGCACCTTGCCATTTCTAGTGGGGACCTCAGACTCATGCCGACCAGAATTCTAACCACATACGAGCAGATGCCAAAGTTGTAGAGATTTGGCTCAGGTCTCCACGGTCAGTCTGGACACCCTCCTTCAATGTAGCCAGGTCCTAAGATCCTGTTGCTCCCCTTCCCTGGAACTACCTGCATCTTCTCTCTCTCTCTCTCTCTCTCTCTCTCTCTCTCTCTGTCTCTGTCTCTCTCTCTGTCACTGTGGTGGCTTACACCTGTGTTGGGGCCAGAATCAGCACACACTCGGTCAGTGAATGAACAAGTCCAGCTTGTGCCTGTTTAAACCCAGCCTTCAAAGCCTTTGCCATATCCCTTCTCCCTCCGTACCGGATTGCTTCTCCATTCAGGACACCTAGGTTTGCCCTAAACTGTCCTTTTATAACAGGGCCTCTGCACTCTCAGCTCCCCTCACTGTTCTTGTCGTTTACTTGTGACCATTCTACATATTTTTCTTGCACAGCTCAGGATTTAATGGGTCTCCATAGAGCCCTGCTCCTTTGCTTTACCCTTCTAGAATATTTAACCTTCGTTCCCTTGTTTCCTAACTTTATAAACCAGCAGCACAGTAGCAGGGTAGCCAGGAAGCCTTAGTCATTTTCAGCTGCCTTTGTGGAGGAAAAAGTGCCGAGAGCTCAGAAAAAACATGGCCTCCTCTTGGAGACCAGCTGGAGAGAGGTGATGGGTGGATGAAGGGTGATTGCAGTTAACAGAGGAGTGACTGTGGCCCCAGTGGGGGTGAGGACGCCCCCTGTTCCCAGGCTGTTGCCTCCTTCAGCAGGCTCTTGCATGAGTGTGTTCTCCCTTATGGTATAGTTGTCCAAAAACAGCCCAGTAAAGGAAGTATTTTCCAAAGATAAAAGGCCCTGTTGGGAGACAGTAATGGGCTCCCAGGCCCTACAGGTGTATGTACACAGGCACAAAGGGAACCAGCCCCACCGGGCTGTCCCAGAGGGAGCAGGCAGCTGTGGCTTGACCCCTCCAGATGGCTTGGAGCTGCTCCAGATTCCTGGTTCTGTGATTCCCTTCCACTCTCCTTCCTGGTCTCCAGCTCCTTTTTTTACCTTTATTTCACTGGCATTTTTTTCTAGCCAGAGTTCTAGCATCTTCTTTTGAAGCTCTTAATGATTTTCTCTGCCACATCCTTTTAAAAAACAAAATGGTGAGGGGAAAATGGAGCATAGATGCATAAACTCCACCTTATCTTCCCAGTGCTTCTTGCCTGTGACTCAAGAGTCTGCGCTTCTAGAGAGCAAGGCCCATCTCTCTCGTGTCCGATCCCTCTCGAGGCCGCATCCCAGTGAGCCGGCCCTGGGAACCTGCTTGCAGAGAGAATGACCAGGGAAGTGGAGGAAGGGACAGTTCACACCTGCAGGAGAGAAATAGCCAGTGCCGGTCCCTGGGATGGGATGAGGACTGTTCTGGGATCGAAGAAGTCTCTTTCCCAGTCACTGTCTGTCTTTGTGCGGTGAAAGTTTAAAGATATCATAACTTCCTCTTTTTCCTCTACAGCAAGCAACCCGGTGATAGCTGCACAGCTCTGGTAAGTGCCCCCAAACTCTGGAGCACAGCTGTCCTGATTACCGTGTTTATTTGCTTTGTTGATTTTTTTCTTAAAACAATTAAATCAGAATGAGTTACCTGATTTTTTTTTTTTTCCTTTTTCTGCTGCCTGCCTATACTATCCTCCTGGTTTCCAATAAGTACACAACAGCACGTTCCAAGACAGTTTGTTTTTCTGGAAAACACAGCTGCTGTATTTGAGTAATACTGTGCTTTGTGTAGTGTGACAGCGGATGATAAGGGTGATAAGAGTGTTAACAGTGTGGCAGGTGGTGATGGGAAGGAAGGCCATGCTCCTGAGCACAAGGCAGAGGACAGCAGGTGCTGGGTTTGCTTCGTGTCACGCAGGTGTTACATTCTTCCGTGTCTGAAGACATGGAATACCTTCACTGAAATTCCTGCAGGAGAAAAAAGTTGTCACAAGACTGAAAATCTCCGGCACAGGAGTCAGCAAACTTTCTGGAAATGGCCAGATGGGAAATACTTCTGACTCTGTAAGCTGTGCTGTCACCTCCACAGCTGTTCAGCTCTGCTGGTGTAGCACTAAAGCAGCTGTGGACAATAAGAAGATGAATGCAGATGGTTGCCTCCTAATAAAATTTTATTTGCAAATACCAGCAGGCCAGATTTGCCCCAGTGGGGGAGAAAAAAAATACAGTTTATGGCACAGATGTTCTAGATCTTGCCTGTGCATTGGAATCACCTGGTGAGCTCTGACATGTCCCCCCTCGGCCAGGCCATAGCCTGGGGCGGGCAAATCACCTGTGGACAGGTGTGGAACATAGGCTTTGTTTTTCAAAGCTTCCCAGGTGAGTCTGTTGTACAGCCCAGGTGAGAGAGCCACCATCCTTCCTGGCATATACCTCTGTCGGTGTATGAAATTACTGCTTTCCTGGGTGAGTTTGGACTTGTTGGCTGTCCTTCTAGAGAACCACAGGTCTGAGTAGTTCAGCCCTTGGTCTGATCTCCAGGTAGTAGTGGGTCCCCCGTTCGCCCCAGGCACAGGTCGCAAGGCTGCTGGGGAAGGTGGATTTGAGATGGGCACCCTCAGCTAACAAGGTGGCAGACTGGCATGTGGTGGTAACAGAGCGTCTCAGGAACTCTCCCTGCTGGCACCAGCTTTGCACTGACCCAGCTCTAGAGACTTTGACCTTCTTTGGAGCTCCCCTTTTCTCATTTTCAAGCAAGGAGATAGGGAAGGTCAGTGCTTCTCCAACATTGTTAGTCTCTAATTTTCACACCCCAGAAGAAGCCCAACATACTGTAGAAGCCAAGGCAACAGAAGTGGAACTAGTCCCAAGGAAGCTGAGTGGATAGAGAAAGGCCCAGCCCTTTGGCTATCCTCTCCCCGTACCCCAGGCAGCTCTACGGCACCTTCAAGGAACCTCAGCTTCAGGAGAACAGAACTAGCCTCTCGTGTTTCCCCTGGGAGCTCAGCCTTGCCTCACTGGTTGCACGCTGTGGTGGCCGTACCATTTGCCAGGGATCTTGCCTCTGAGTTTTGTTCATTCTGGACATCTGAAGAAGGAACTCCAGGGTCCTGCTGAACTGTGATCTCTGCCCTCCTAGAGTGGGAGGAAGTTCTAGTGTGTCATGTGGGTTAGCTGGAGGTCTGCAGATGTGCCCCGTACCTAGGATCTGTAGTATTTGCACCTTTCTTAGCCAGAGTCATGTGTGTTGCTCTTAATTCTCAGGAGTTTGCAAGCTGTAGTTTGCAAGTTTCTCCCCTTTGCTCTTTTAGGAGGTGATCGTTTTGTTTGTTTATATTTCCTTAATAAAATGACATTTTTCCTCTTAGCATCTAGTGGTTGGGAATGAAAACAAACTAAAAAAAAAAAAAGCCCCAGTATAGCCTTTAGGAACAAATGAGCCGATAACTGCCTTTCGCAGCTGTTCAATTGCGCTTCACAGCCTGTGGGATCCTGGGGTGAGCAGGATTGCTGTGGGAGCCATGGATGAAATGGTGCTCTGGGCTGCAGAGGTGCTACCAAAAAAGTAGCACCTCACAGGACACCTAAGCTACCTGATGAGATCCAGCCTGAGGTGCTGGCCCAGAGTCTGGTTCAGCAAGTACTAGCTCTACCCAAAAACTGAACCACAGCCACTTAGACCCCAGGCAAGACTCCCGTAACAATGACAGTTCCCTCTCATTGTTGCTAAAGCAATAAACTGTGATTTCAAGCACACCACCCTACCAACAGTGATTGCCCAATCGTTGTGCCGTGTTTGTGGGTTCAATTTACACCAACCTATTTTCTTTCTTCTTTTTCCTTTGGGAGAGTAGTTCTATCAAAATAGGACCGTCCACAAGAAGGTCTGTACCTTTGTGCAGAACCCTCCAGAGCTAGCTTGGGCTGATGAAAGAAGATAGACTTTGGGACTGAGCAGATATTGCGTACAGCCCCAGCTCTGCCACTGACCAGCTGGGTGACCTTGAGTAGGTTTCTTCACTCCCTGTTAGGCAACTGTTCCTTTATCTGTAAAAGGAGGTGCTAGGAACGTTATTGACCTTCCAGCCTTGTGGTGTGTGGATTAAACAGTGACAGATGTGACGTCTCTGGGACAGAACTTTGTGTGAACGTGCCATGGTGGTAGTTGCATCTTCTGTGGCGTAGTGAAGCACAAGGGACTCACATCTGGTTCTCCCCACAGTGCCTGGTGGTAGATGTGCAGAGTGTCAGTGAGTGTCCAGCTGGAAGAAGTTCTGCACAGAGCTGGGCTTCCTAGTATAGTGGGGCTGCCAGCTACTGCCAGGGCGGGCCCTCAGTGGGAGCTGAGACTACGTGGCTTGCACAAGAGAAGGGGCCTCCTTTCTGCCGCTAGAATGTAACATCACAGCTGCGTTCTGAAATATTACCTTGTGTTTATTTTTGTGAGCTTTAAAGTTATGAATGAAAGTCGCTGTCTGTGAAATAAATCCGCAGTAATGCCATTCTGTAAAGTTGCAATTTCTTTTTCTTTTTTCTTGTAGCTCTAAAACAAATCCTGAAGTCCATAATTACCAGGTGAGATCCTACTTTTAAACATTCTGAAAGCTTTAAATTTTTCACAATGAACAGTCTCCAGATGTTGAAGAAATAATACGTATTTTTTGAGAAAACAGTAAGAAGAGACCCTTTCCCTCCTGATCCCTGCTTCCTCTTGGTCATCTGAACTGCATGCTTTTCTTCACCTTGTCAGCTGGCAAGCACCAGGGACATCCGTTTCAGTTCTAGGTGGTGAAACGTGATCTCATAGTGGTATTCAAGTGAGCCAGCTTTTTGCGAAGTGTGTCCTCAGCCTAGTGAACTGGAGTGCCTGGAAACATGCCTTCAGGAGAGGATGTTTTGGTCAAATGTTTGGGAATATTGCATCCTTCACTCCTCTCTTGGATTTCCAGTGCCCCCTGGGATGTAGAAGTACTAAGAAATCCTGTAAGAATGACATGTGGCTTTCTAATCCAGCATTTCTTAAAATAATTTGTGTCTCTCCCTCCTACCCTGACAAACTAGTCTCATCTCCTCCCCACCCTCGTTAACATCAGTGGAGCTGCGGTCTCTAAAACCTACTCTATAAAACCCATTACCTGCAGAAGGAGCATTGGTTGGTTTGCACACCCAATCTTACCTTTCATTGGACCGTGCTGGCCGCCTGCCCACCCACCCCCTGCCAAAGCTTTTGGAGGCACAGAGGACCCAGCCTGAGCCAACAGACCCCTCCTGAGTCATTGTGGCCGGCTCTCTGGCCCCTCACAGCCTTCTGTGCCCCAACTCTGACTCCTCTGCATGTTTCTTACCGCTCCTCATTCTATACTGAATGTTCGCTCGCCAAGAATTGCATAAGTGTTTTCCCCTAGTTCTTCCTACTCTTCTTTGCTCATGCCCATCTGTTTGGAATATCTTTGCCTCCTATCTGTGCACTAAGATGCCCCTCCTCCTGATCCTCACCATTGAAAGCTGCTGGCCCCAGTAATTTTCAAGTCTGCTCCATTAAAACTGTCTGACCAATGTTGAAAAAGAAATAGCTAGTGTTGGGCCCCAAAAAGTGAACAGAAACTAGGGGTAGGAACTGGGCATTGAACGCTTCAGTGCTCCTGAGGTGTTCTCATGAGCAGCCGGTTGGAGGATTCTGGATGGATGATGTGCACCTTGTTTCCCAGGTGGTCATTTGTTTCTGCCAGCTTCTATGTCTGATGACTTGTAAGTTGGGACCATGTATTAGTCATCTTGCTGTGCTATAACAAAATATTTGATGCTGGGCACCTTATAAGGTAAAAAGCAGTTCATTTAGCTCACAGCTTTGGAGGTTCAAGAACATGGTGCTGGCCTCTGCCCAGCTCTGGTGAGGCCCTTGTAGAGGATGATATCACAGTGGCAGGAGCATGTATCGAGGGAGAGATCAATATTGCATGGCAAGACAGGCAGCCAGGGCGAGAGGCAGGGCCAGGCTTGCTTTTGTATAACAACTTACTGTCACGGGAACACACCAGAGTGCCGGAGGAACTGCCTGCCTTTCTTTTAAAGGCAGGACTCCCAGAGACCTAATCTCTTCCCACTAGTTCCCCCTATCTTGGATAGCACCACACTGCGCCCAATCCATGAACCCCTAGAGGATAAACTATATGCAGGCCACAGTAGGACACCTCCTGGGTGGGTGTGAGAGTCCAAAAGACACTCTTCTCCCAGCTTCTTGGGCCCTGTTCTCAGGTGGTTGTGCCATTAAAGATTTCGTGTTAGGGTCTTTCGCTGATTATCCCCTTTCCTGATTCTACATTACCGAAGATACTAATTCCTAAGATGAGAGTGAGATTCCAGTGTACGTTATCAAATTTCCAAGTTACCACTGACTTCCATACGTGAAACCATGTCCTCACTGTGCAGAAGTTGGAAATGATTTCTACATTTTAGGTAACAACAAGTAGAAGTACTTGGAAGTTAGTAGGAGAAAAATCAGTTTCACTAGCTCCTTGCCTGCCTTGGATTCTTGAATCTTCTTGTTAACATACTGTCTTTGTTGAGATATCTTTGGGTGTAACTGGGATGTTAAATGGGACAGGAAAGGTTGTTAATGGGTGATCAGTGCTTGAAAGAGAGGAAAAAAGAAAAACAAAGCAAAGCAGCTTTGTTCTGTGCTATCCCCACCCGTCGCCTCTCCCCTGCAGGTGTGTCCCCCCTGCACCTTCTCTGCCTGTAGTGAACGTTTAGGCAGTAGTTCGTTAAAATCCTATCTGCAGAAACTTACCTAGACATTGTTCTTTCCACGTTGTTGCAAACCACTGGTCCTTTGAATTTGGCCAGTCTTAGAGGTTCTGTGTCATACTCTCAAGGTTTGGGAGTAACTTCACTCAGAAGAGAATGTCCTAAGGAACAGCCTGATCATATCAGAATACTGGGAAGGCCTCTCAGGAGAACGGTGTTGCAGCATTTATCTTATTCCCAGCACACAAGGTCAGCCAACTTAGGGGACGGAGGATGGCTGCGTTCTCAATGGCATGCCATTAGCATTTGAGGAGGGACAGCTCTTCATTGTTTGGGACTGTCCCTAGAATGATGGAATGTTTAGCTTCCCTTTTCTCTGTCATGGTGACCAGCAGAAATACCTCATGTGTATCTCCAGATGTCCCCAGAGAGACGTACCTGGCCCAGTTGAAAGACCCACCTCAGTTAATATTAAAAGTGTTGACAGTTGAAAATGTGACTGAATTACCCAAGGAGTTGGCAGAAGATTCTGGAATCTCCCTTTTCTAGCTCTCTCTGATGGGTCTAAAGAGTGTGTTTAAAGACAGAAGAGACCAGTGGGTCCTATTATAGGTTGTTTTTCTTTCCGTGAAGACCTGGGACGTGGAACCTCCTTTGGGGTTTTGCTGGATGACCTAGAAGCCTGGGGGAGTTCGGTTTGGGCAAACCGTCGAAACTGCAGGTTTCTGTATTCCCTGAAAGGGATAAATAGAAAGACATTGTGTCAGAGTGATTCTGAAGCTCTGGTCAGCTCTCAGATTCTGCAGCTGAGATATTTTCTCCAGACTCCTTTCTCCTGCAGCCACAGCTTGCTGACAGGTATCTTTGAAGGAGAAAAAAAAAAAAAAAAAAAGGTTACTGGAACACAGAACAGGCAGGGAGAGCCTCTTAAATCCATGAAAATTGGATGAACAGAATCACAGAGAATTTTCCGTAAAAGAGAGCAGGCTACCACTTAGTAACCAAAACATCAGGGGAAGGAGAGGGAGGGGGAAATAATTGAAAGATTAATGGTGACAAGATTGTAATGACTTTAATGTCAGAAGGGCCTAATTTGCCCCATAGCAAGTTTAGCCTTGAGAAACCCCATGGCTTCCTGGAATGTCTGGGGTTGCTGCCCTCTGCAGGCCAGAAGTGGTGAGGCAGCCTGCCGCCCAGCCAGGCCCATCTGAGCTTCACCTTGGTCCCTGCTCTGCATCTATTTTCTCATCTTAACCAGTGGATAACTTCTCACCCACCCTCCCTCCTTTCGTCCATTTGTCCTTCTCCCCCTCCTTACCTCCCTCAGCTTTATTCGGATAAGTGCTCTGGATAGTTCTTCATTTTGTTTTGAATTACATTTTAGAAAATTACTTTTGTTGTTTATACCTAGAAGAAAGAAAAAAATGCACCTATGGTCCCGCTGCCTCACTTAGCATCCCCACCCCTTCCTGGTGTGTGGGCAGATACAACCATTACGCTTGGTTGTCATCATTTTTTAGCAACAACAAAACATTGTTTTTGAGGAGAGAAAGTGTCTCCTGCTCTCCCGCCTCTCCGGCACCTGTTTCCCTAGGAGAGGGAATAGTGCCCATCCTGGACACACCGGATCCCCCCTTCTCAGCAGATGCTGACACCTTGCTTCCGGCAGCATCCCAGCCCCAGCTTTGTCAGCGGGGGAAATGCGATCGTCCTGGGAAAGGTCCACCCGCAGCCGGGGCTTGGTTACAGTCCTTCTGCTCACATCCCTCTCGGCCCTGAGGCGGGGCCGCTAACGGAGAAAGTGAATGAAGGCCATTGAAGCCCAAAGGTCGCGGAATAATCGTGTGGTGTTTTATTTCTAGCCTCAGTACCACCCTAGCGTCCACTCCAGCCAGCCCCGGTGGCACCCTCACTCTCCAAACGTCAGGTAAGTGCCCACGGCCACAGTTTGGGCTTTGGGGAGGTCTCCTTTCTCAGAAAAGTCCTCACTCTTACTTCGTGCTGAACTGGAAACCCGTAGCAGAAACAGTCCCAAAGGGTTGTGCTGTCGTGGCAGAGATGAATCATTTGCAAATTGAAGGAAGCCAGCTAGGAGTCTTTGTGCTGTAAAAGTGAATTTTCTAAGTTATTCTAACCCCGCCTACTTTTGGCTTTATATCACAAATGTTACTTAAAATTTCAAAGTAACATTTTCCGGTCTCAAGCATTTGTTTACTTAAAATGTGGTTAAAGCTTAGACGTAGTTATTGTGGGGTTTTTTAGATTTTTTTCTTTCAAGATAGGGGCAGCATTTGTTTGGGTAATAATGGATCTTTCCCCCCTAAAGCCCAGAGGTAGGAAAGCTTTTTCTGAAAAGATAGTCATTATTTTTGGCTTTGCGGTCACTGTCACAGCTATTCCATCTTGCCATTGTTACCTGAAAACAACCCTACACAATACATAAATGAGAGGGCTTGGCTCTGTCCCAGTAACGCTTATCTGTAAAAACAGAGGGATTCGGCCTAAGGGGTATTGTTGTTTACCAACCCCTGCCCTAACCTGCACAGTCCTTGCTGAATGAACTGGTTATCTGCTGCACTGTATTTATAATTAGTCCTGTAAGTTTCCTATGGCCAGCTCAAATCTTCCTGTAAGATCGGCATTTTGGATGAGTCTTGATTGATGTTTATCTGTCAAGTGATTTCAGAAACAGTTGGTGGATTCAGCTTGCATAAAGGTAAGGTCCTGAGCTCCTTAAGAAACAAGGGAGAATTGAGTGGTGGAAATAAACCCACCCAGAGCAAGTTCAGTAAAAGCTTTTTGGGGATCCTGTATCACAGCAGTACAATTTTATTATTATAAACCTTATGATACGCATATAACTTTTTAACTCAAGTTTTATTAGTGGAGTGACAATTTCAGATCTTTTACTATTTTAAAGGTAATTTATTTTCCAGAAAAGATGGGGTATTTTTGTTTTCATTTTTTAGTACTAGGTATTAAACCCAGGGCTAGGCCAAGCGTGGTGGTGCACATCTATAATCTAGCACTTGGGAGGCTGAGAGGCAGGAGGATCATTGCAAGTTCGAGACCAGCCTGGGCTACAAAGTGAGCTCAAGGCCAGCCTGAACTGCATAGCAAGACCCTGTCTCAAAAAGACAAAAAAACCCAGGACCTAGCACGTGCTAGTCAAGCTCTCTACCACTGAGCTACACCCCCAGTCCTGTTTTTTTATTGTATCTTGAAATGTTCTTGCAAAGTTTCCCAGGCAGGCCTTGAACTGGGAATCCTCCTGCCTTGGTCTCCTGAATAACTAGAATTACAGGCATGCACCACCACACCTGGCCAGAATTTTATTTTATTAACACCGCTTTACAAGATTTTATATCTAGGGGCTGGGGATTTAGCTCAGCGGCAAAAGCGCCTGCCTGGCAAGCGCAAGGTCGTGAGTTCGGTTCCCGGTACCGGAGAAAAACCAAAAAAAAAAAAAAAAAAAAAAGATTTTATATCTAGCATTGCCTATTTTATTGTAGTTTTATTCTGAGGCATGGCCTACCTACCCCAGCTTTCATAAGGGATTCACTAGAGCTCCTCTCAGGTAGCCTGATGACTGGAAGGTTTAGCATCCCCTGGGAACTTGTTGCCTGTCTCCGCCCTGCGTCAGCATCTCTGGGGTGGGCCCAGCATATTGTGTATTATCAAGCTCCCCAGAGATAGCCTATGAAAAAAGAGTTCACTGGTCCAACACTTCTGGCAAAGGCTACCCAAAGTGTTCACCTTGCACATTAGTATGATAAAGGAAACCTTCCACCTTCACCTGCCTTGCCCCAGACTGACTTGACCATCAGACACCTTTGAGAAATGAGAACTCAGCCACAGACTGAACTTATCTAGTCTGGGAAGCTGATGATCTGTATCAGTTTTTAAAACACCAAAGCAGCGAATCCATTCATTCCCATGTGTCTGCCGCCCCACCCCCGCTCACTGTCTTCCTCGTCCATTTCCCAGGCACTCGTGTTGTTTCACTCATTTCGCAATGTTCTTCCATTTCCCCACTAACCATTCACTCTGCAAACAAAACAGGCCATCCTTTCAGGATGACAAGTCGTACTGGAAAGCACCGGCCAGTGGAGAAGACGGCCGTTTTGACTATGTGCACGACCAGAACCAGAAGAACTTAGGAGGGGTGCACAGTGTGACGTATCGGGACAAACTCATGACTGCACTTTGAGAGGCCAAAGCGTCTGACTGCCACTCACCATCGTAGTGTCATTGCATTCCATGAGAAGCATCTTGGCATCACATGGACGTGTGTGTGCAAGAATCTTTAAGGAATAGTTCTGAGAGGTGTTTTCAGTGTCCATGTACATACTGGAGGATAACTACGGTAGCTAGTCGTAATTTACTGTTGACTGCATTCTCGATGAAATGAAGGTAGTTAAAGGCTCAGGAATCATTTTGATATTCTGATTTTAAAATTGGAGTAAAGGTCTATGTTTATCATCTTGCTACATATCTGATATTCTTTGTTATTTAATTAAGGGGAGCAAATAAAACCAAAAGAGCTTAGGGAGATAGCAGGGCACACTGTGCTATTACAAAGATTGAAATTCTGAGAATCCAGCCTCTGCCACTCTGCGACCTTGGATGGATCATTTCCACTTTGGTTGGCCTCATTTTCTCACCTTAAAATAATGGATTGGACCAAGTGAGCTCCAAGGCCCTTTCTGACTCTAAAATTCTGTGATTTGTTAAAGTTTAAGTTCTTTTAGAGGAAGGACACACGTTCAAACTACTCATTACAGAAGACTACAGCATCCCCTACTTTGACAGAAGTGTAATAAAGTATATAACTTCTTTGATGCTATATAAATACAAGACTTTGACTTTCATATCTTAAAGCAGTTTAGCAACCTTGAATTTCAGCCTTAGTACGAATCATGAATCACATAGCATCCGTTTTGATAGAATTTGCTGCTCAAGTGTGATTTTTAATGTCTCAATGACTGGTGCTGCTAATGTGCGTGATTTCAGAAGACGTCGTGAGTACACACTGTCAGAACTGGGGGTTGGGTTTCACTCTGGACTTACTCGACTGGAAAGCAGCATGCAGTGGAGATGCACTTAGGGCTCAAGTGCAAGCCTGTAGGGTCTGAAGGAGGTCGTGCCAAAGCATTCTGTAGCACAGGTAGGGTGGGCACAGCCCTAGTCTATATGTAGAACCAGAAAACAATGTGTTGTCTTGTAGGGTGAAACTTCTACCAAATTATTTATTTCCCCACTTTACGTCATGAGTCAAACAGCTTTTCCTCTTAGTAGGCCTGGGATACTTTTCTATTAGTGTTTTTGTGATATCGGTTCATTATTGTGCCACTTTTATGTGTATGATTGTAATTTGCCCCACTTTAAGCCCTTAAAAATGTATCGGCCTCCTTTGAGATATTTTATTGCTAACCTCAATCTTTTTCGGAGGGAATGAGCTACAATCCCTGCACAGTGTAACTGACCACCTACAAATTCCCTGGACCTTTGTTTACAGGTGTATTCCATTTTAGAAAACATGTTAATCCTCAGTGTATGTGCTGCATCCAAATAAACGTGTTCCAAATCTTCTCATCTTACTGATAACATTTTTACAAGTGTATTTCTGAGGAATAAAGATTATTCTTGCTTTTTTTTTTTTTGGCCTCCATTTTCATTGTATTGGTTCTTCCTTCTGCACAGAAGTCTCATCTGCAGATATCTTGCTAATGGGACCGTTGGCTTTTAGAAGTCTGAAGGTGAGCATTCGGTCAGGTGACGTGGAGCAGGAGTAGCTCATCTTCTAGGTACAGTGGCTGAGGCAGGTCTTCACTGGGGGCAGCTCTGGTGAAGTTGGAGTGCCTGGTCACATGTGCTAGGCAGAATGAAGTGATGGCAGTGGGGTTTCCTGATGACAGTGCTATGGTGACAGTGGGTGTTTGTCTTCGCTGCTTTGCTCTTCCTGGCTGGGAAACATCCAAACCTGTCTCTGTGTTTCCTAGAGATTGTATATACCAGTAGTGGCTAACCTATGGCATGCATGGTACTGTGTTTTTCTTTTAAAACCAAAGGGGTTATTGTAGAGGTGTTTTCTTCTAAACTAAAACCACCTTATCTAGGTTTAATTGCAGTGTTGGTACTTTGTGATAAATAAGTGAGTTTTGGGTTTCAGTTTGGTCTCGGAAAGGTTTGCCATCACTGGTATACACTATCAAATACCCTCTAATAAATACCTTTCTATGTAAAGTAACTTGAATAGATTCAGTTGTCTGCAACCAAGACATCTGATCAGTGTGCACAATAATGGCATTCTGATGGTTAAATTAAGTACACTTTTCATTCCTCCCCGGACCTTTCTCTGTCTACCGCATTTGACAGCTTCGATCTTAACAGCCTCCTCTTCTGCTATCCTGTTAAACATTGGTGTCTTCCAGCAGGCTTTCCTCCGCCCACTGCTTTTCTCACTTAACAGAGTCTACTGGAGTCTTCTTCTGTCATGACTAGAGTGCTCTTCCCTCTGAAGCCCATCATCTCCAGCTCTTGAGTTTTCAGACTGACATTTCAATGTGGACATCCTGTGTACACAAAACTTCACACAGTAAGAGTCAAATTTAATCATCTTTTACCACCATCCACAAAACCCACCACGTTACTTTTACCTGCATTCTGTCTTTCACCCACAGTGGAAATTTATACATCATCCACAGTTCTCCTCCCTTTTGCTACCCGTATTCAGCAATCCACAGGACTGTTCAGCTCTGCATTCTTAGGACTCTCACGTAACCCTTACCTTCTCTTCTTTCCAACACTGATCTTGCAGAAGCATCTTTCCTCTTACTGAGAGGTGTCCTTGCTGACCTTGACTCCTGACCAGCTCATTTTCCTCACTGTCAATGGGTGATCTTTCTAAAACGCCCTCTGACTATG